AGAGAGAGAGAGAGAGAGAGAGAGAGAGAGAGAGAGAGAGAGAGAGAGAGAGAGAGAATTTCATAGTGTTCAGAAATGTTAATTAAGCAGAATAATTACTTATATCAACTGTAATTATAATAAAATATTTTGATTACCTCTTGCTGGTTCCGTCGTTTCGCTTAGTTTCTATTCCACGCTAATCTCCATACGCCCGAAAGTGAATGCCCGAGAGTTCATGTTCAGTGTACAAAAAGCTAACCGTGTTTGTAGTGCACTACTTTCTTCATAAAAAACAGCTTTCATCTTTAAAACATAAATGTTTCTTATATTGTTTTAATAAATGTGAATAAAAATAGAAACTAAAAAAGAAAACAATCATCTTTTCAATTTGCATATGTGATTGCGAACTACAAAAACTTGCTATGAACTACATTGTGTAGCGGTCACACCCGTAGGGATGTGAGTTTATTCACTCAGTGAATACACAATTGACTAGAGCATATCGCAACTTCACGCTGAATCAATGATATATCAGTCGTTGTATAATTTTTTATTAAAAGAAAACGAGGCAAAAAAAGTAAACGAGGCAAGCCTCGTTTCCTTTTAATGAAAAATTTATAGAACGAGCAGTGTATCATTGATACAGCGCACGTATTATATATATATATATATATATATATATATATATATATATATATATATATATATATATATATATATATATATATATATATATATATATATATATATATATATATATATATATATATATATACTGGACCACAGTGAAATTTAATACGACTGCATAACTTTTCGAGCAAATGTAAATAAAGCATAAATAAGTTCTTAGTCCGATGCCCCATGAAACAATAATGTCTTTGAGTGTCCAGGTCATATACTAATTTAGTGAATGTTTTTTTTTTCAGTTGCGCGCAAGCAAAGATATACGGAACGCAGAGTGAACAAAACTATTAGTAATTAATACATCGTGGCGTCACCAGTACATGCACGCAAGCGCTGTCCCTCCGTGCACGTTGTCTGCAGTGCGATCAATATATAAAGGGAAAATCTGAGTGCAGCAAAATCTCCTTTTGTTTTGTTCTGCTTCAAATTATCTTTCATTTATTCTGCAATAACATTTCTTTTCAACTGTTTCTGAAACGTTGGTCGATCACAGCAACAACAACCCCATCGCAGTCTTGAGGATCTAGAATAAACCAGATGCGCCCTCTAGAATGTCGTAACTGAGGATTAAATGGAGCAACATGTATGCCGTGGATTGAGCCTCATATCAGTGGCGTAGAAGATTCTGATAAATGGATGGTAGTGGAGAGGCCAGTTGTTATCACACTGATGCAACACATTACTTTGGCATCAGCTTCAGCTAAATTGGTGGTCAGTACGGCTGGGTATGAAAAACAGGCTTGTCAAGACAAGCTTAAGAGGTTATGATGAAGACAGATTCAGTTTAAGTGGTATCCATATTTTCACGTGTTACCATCCCCATTGATCGTGAACCCACATATATTATCCTCCTCATCAGTGTGGGTCTTTTTAAATTATTTTTATCGATCGTTGGTAAAAAGCCGTTTTGCTACATACTATTTTATCATGCAAATTTGTTGTGGCACTATATACCAGTGATTGTGTGCCGTAACATTATTATTCAACCATGCAATCACAAAAGTCCACTACTGTGTTTTAAGTGTCACCAGGAAGACAAATAATCTAAAATCCCTGTGTGAGGCCGATGCGGCGACTCTACACGTCGGTAACCTGAGTGTAAAGCCACCCCACATTTTATAAACTTCAGAAAACAAGGTCAATGGTAAATTTGCTGAGCTGGACGAAATACATTATCAGTTCTTAAAACATATACCGTAACCATGACTGATCTCTATTTCGGAAATTTTCAACTGGTAATATCCAAAAAAATTTGAAAGATGCTACGGTAATGTCTGTTACCAAACCATGCACGGCAGGAGCAGGAAAGTGAAAGATTTCAGGTCAAAACATCAGTAAGTCACCGACGTACCTGGATAATGAAACGGTACGTGCATAAATCTATCAATCTGTACACCATTTCTGCTTTTAGATCATGATAGATTATTGATAACATCCCACAGCAGCGACCACTTTCTAGTTTCTATAAAATAATATTCACTCTTTATCGATGAACCAATTTCGCAGATGAAATTAAAGAAAGCTAGCATGCCAAAATTTGAAACTCTATTGAAAACTAGACCTAAAGATATCTTTTATAAATCCCAATGATCCTCATCAACATTTAACACCTGCCTTACTTGTGATTGTAAAATAAAAATCCTTGAGTCTCATTTAACTTAAAAAGAACCACACAACAATGATTTACTGATAATTGTACAGAATTCGACAGCGTCGAGAAGTACCGAGCAAATTTAACAATCGCCGACGACAAAAATTTCATTAGATATCACATATTCCGAGCTAAAGCACATTGCACAATTAAAAAATGTAAGAGAACATCTCGGAAAAACTGTCTACTTTAAACTCTAGTTCCTCTATAAAGAAAGTATGTGGCACAATCCGAAAAAATATAAGAAGGAAATACTTTTCCGACATCTTAAACTTAACAATTTAAACCTAAACTCCAAACAGCAGGCAGCAAATGTACAGGGTTTATTTAAATTTGTCATCGTTTCATTATTCAGCAGAATTTAGAAACCTTACAATTTAGAAAGAGAATATACATTTAAAATTTCACATCAAATAATTCTGAAAGTTATAATCAACGTTTGGAAATTCCGGATGCTCTAACCATGGCCAATGATACAGCCACATGGCCTGACAAGATACCTTACCATTTTTTAAATACCTACCAGAACTGTAATTATATGCTTCTTTGGAAATGTTCAATAATTTATAGACGACTGGTTATGTACCAAAAACCTTGGAAAGAGGATGCAGTAATACCTGCTACAAAACCAGGCAAGAATACACAGATCTATAAATTACAGTCCCATTGCTTTGACGACCTGTTTTTTTTGTAAAATGATGGAACTAATCATCAATGCATAGCTTGTGGAGTATTTCAAGAGTAACAATGTAATTTCTCCATTCCAAACTAGCTTTTCGATATGGCCGTAGTACCAACGATCATATGGTTAGACAAGAAACATTCATCCACAATACTTTTATCCAGAAATAACATGTGAGAGTTGGTTTCTTCGACTTTGAAAACGTCTATGATAAAACATGGAAACACGGAATCGTGAACGATCTGCATGATCTAGGACTAGAAGGCTGCTTTCACATCTTTGTCTCTAACACTCTTTCAGATAGGCAATTCAAATTACGAGTAGGTTTGGCCCTCTTTGATATGCATGAACAAGAGATTAGTGTACTACAAGGCAATATCTTACCCGTTACGCTATTAAACATCACAAAGTGTTTGGCTCTTTGTGTGCATTGTTGTTTATATGTTAATGATTTCCTAATATCTTATTGATTCAAAAATATGCGTAAAATTGAAATACAATTGCAACAAAATATAAGCAAGAGTTAAAATTTGGCAACTGGCAATGGTTTTATATTCTCAGAAATGGAAACTGTATGCATTTCTGTCAGCTAAGAAGACAACATAACGTTCATAAGCTCGCGCTGGACGGAAGGCCTACATCGATTTTCGAGGAAACAAAAGTTTTAGGTATTGTCGTCGACAGAAAACTCAACTTCATTTCACGCATTAAGCAACAGAAAACTAACTGCTTGAAAGACCTCGACCCACTCAAAGTAGTATCGCACACTGACTGGGGTGCTTTTCTTATAGAATGAGCATTCTCAATCTATATAGAACCCTTATTAGTTCCAAACTGGAGTATGGAGGTGTTGTTTATGTTTCAGCAATAAAATCATATTTAAAGATGCTTTACCCAATTCAAAAAGCATACGACTCGTTCTGTGTGCATTTAGGACATTACCATTTGAAATCATTTTCGCTGATGCGATTGAGTCACCTCCATCACATCGAAGAGGAATGTCATCTTTAAAATATACCATATGATTAAAGAAGGCCGACTGGGCCAAGTTTTAAAATACTTTATAAAACTAAATTAAAACTTCTTAAAAGGTTATATTCAACATTGTACAACTATTTTAATTGACATTACAGAAGATTCCATCCCTTACTTAAGTATTCACTTAATTCTAACGAACCCTAAAACGGTGGATCTGTAAAACAAACTCATTAGGGGCATTGAGAAAATTTAATAATCATCCGAAAATTTAAGTAGGCACAGCACCATTAAAAGTGCAAAAGAGCATCCTGGAAAAAATTTTCTCCTTTAAACTCTCATTCCTCTGTAAAGAAAGTATGGAACCCAATCCGCAATACAAATAGCAGAGAAAAATTTTCTACCTACCAGATGCATATGCTGATAGTTTCGATAAAAATTAATAATTATTCATCAGACTTTCTAAGACTAAAAGTCGAAAAGAAAAGGTACATTTAAAATTCACATCCAATAATTCAGAAAGTTATAATCAAACTTTTTCTCATTTGAATCATACGGACAGTTTGAACAAGGCCCATGATAAATTCGATGGGCCGAAATACAATACCAATTCTTGAGACACTTATCAGAACGATCTTTTGAAATTTTGCATTGACTTATGAACCACTGGCAATATACACAGAAGTGGTACCTATTCCCAAACCAATTTGGATAGCAGAGTCCTTACCTGCTGCCGTCTCAATTCTTTAAGGAGCCTTGTGTGTAAAACAATGGAACGAATGGACAATGCAAGACTTTTTTGGGTGTGTTTATGATTTTAACGTAGCTTTTAACAATTTTTCAGTCACATCACTACGATGTCTGCAGTGTGGCAGTTTATAGTGATGTCTAGCACTGGGCATCATGCTGCAGACATGTAGCATGATGTCCCACCCAGTCACATCCTGACACCAGGCCGACCAGTCTTAACACTAACCTCTTAATGCTGAGCGTCAAGCGAGGCAGCTGTTAGTATCATTTTTGTTAAGTTTTTGGTATGACTCGACCGGGGATTGAACCTACGACCTCCCGCATTCGAGGCGGACGCTCTAACCACAAGGCCACCAGAGCGGTTCTTTTTTGGTACATGGAGACTAATAATTGAATATCTCCTTTCCAACGTAGATTCCGATATGGCCGTTGCACCCGTGACATCTGGTTAGGATTGAAAGGTATATTCACGGTGGTTTTATAAAGAAAATATTTAGTAACTGTTGTCGTCAATCTTGAAAAGGCCTATGACACAACATGGAATTTCTTGAAAAGGCCTATGACACAACATGGAATTTCTTGAAAAGGCCTATGACACAACATGGAATTTCTTGAAAAGGCCTATGACACAACATGGAATTTCTTGAAAAGGCCTATGACACAACTTGGAAATGCGGAATAATGAAAGAAGATCCGAGTTTTAAAGGCCGCTTTTATATCGAACGTTTTCAAACAGAGAACTCAAGGTACGAGTAGGCTCCACCCTCTCTGACATTTACGAGCATGAGATGGGCGTACTTCAGGGCAGAATCGTATCTGTATCGCTTTTTAGCATCAAAATTAATAGCATTACCAATTGTTTGCCTTCTTGTGTGGATTGCTCCTTATATGTTGATGACCTTCCAATATGATATAGATCGAAGCACATGCATACAATTGAAGAAAAAACTGCAACAATGTAAATGCTTGAAAATGCCTATGACACAACTTGGAAATGCGGAATAATGAAAGAAGATCCGAGTTTTAAAGGCCGCTTTTATATCGAACGTTTTCAAACAGAGAACTCAAGGTACGAGTAGGTTCCACCCTCTCTGACATTTACGAGCATGAGATGGGCGTACTTCAGGGCAGAATCGTATCTGCATCGCTTTTTAGCATCAAAATTATTAGCATTACCAATTGTTTGCCTGTTTGTGTAGATTGCTCCTTATATGTTGATGACTTTCCAATATGATATAGATCGAAGCACATGCATACAATTGAAGGAAAAACTGCAACAAAATATAAACAAGATTCAAAATGGGTTAGTGCCGACGGTTTAAATTTTTCAAAATCACAAACACTATTCATGAATTTATTTCTGCAATTTCTTTCAAGCGATAGTGATGATTCTAAAATCACTTTTGATGAAACAAAGTTGCTGATGAAGCAAAGTCTTAGTTATTATCTTCGACATAAAACTCAACTTTTTCAAGACATCAAGAACTTCATAACTAAATGCTTGAAAGTTCTCGATTTATTTAAGGTAGTAGAAAATTCGTTATCAACATATATAGAAATTTTATTTGATCCGAACTGGACTATGATTGTCTTGTTTATGGTTCTGCTAGAATGTTATATTTAAATATGCTTGAACAAATTCACCACTAAGGAGTACGACTCGCTCTGGCAGCATTTAGCACACCCTCGTGTGAAAGCAGTTTGGTTGAAGCGAATGAGCCACCACTATCACATCGTAGTGAAATACTGTCTTTACTGTATACCCTCAAATTAAGATTCAGCCGTTTGAACCCTCCTTTTTCGATTGCATTCCAACCCAAACGCAAAATATTATATCAAGACACCAAAATGCAATACAAATCTTTGGTATTAGAATATCCCCCTTTTCTGTTAATACATACATTGAGCCCTTTCGAAAATTAAAATAAAGAAACATCTGTTTCCGAAACGCCCTTCTGGCTACTTTAACAACCTAAAGTACTATTGAAACTACATTTGGAAAAACCTAAGATAAGTCATTCTATTTTGCATAACTCTTTTTAGGAACTCCATACCAAATTAAAGAACTACAAAAGATTTTACAATGACGGATCAAAGGATCAGTTAACGGCTGCTGCTTTCATTAGTGGAAATAATACTGTTAATATTCGCTTACTTTATGGTACATCGATATTTGCAGCCGAAATCGGGGCAATTGACCTTGCCCTGAAATATATCGATTTAAATATGTCGATGTTTAAAACTATTTTCAACTCATCATCTCCGATTCCCTATCAATACTTCAGTCATTTCTCTATAGGAAGTTGGAAAACTCATTGCTGGCCAATGACCTCATTAAACCTACCGAGCTAAGTGCTTCTAACGATATCATACACTGTTGGTTGCGCAGTCATATTTGCATCAAAGGTGATTAAAATCATAACGCACTGACAAATGAGCCCTCAATCTGCAACAAATTGATTTTAAATACCATACTCTGATTTTAAGTATAGAATCAAAACACTCTCATTAAGTAAGTGGCAGACATCTTGAAATAATGTTTTGAACAAACTGGTCTAACCCTCTTTAGGCGAATGCCCTCCGCCCACAGAATTATCCATCAGAAACAGGTGGACATTGCACAGATTAGAATCGGCCACACTTATACGAGCCACTCATATATGCTTAAGGTTGAAGACCCACCCGACTGCATAACTTTCAATGAACCATTTACTGCAAAGCACTTGCTAATAGACTGTCTAGAACTCCAACCTACACGAGACCGTTACTACAATGTTCAGCACATGAATGAGCTTTACTGATACAGTATACGTATATTGTCTTTTTCTTGAAGGAAATTAACAAAAATTAACAAATTATTCAAAAATGTAACTTGTGTTCCGTCCTATTAATCTTCAGTATTTTAACAAACATTCTTTCTGTTAACTACCCTTCTTATTATTTTAATCAAATTACACGTTTCACACACCATTGTCCCCTTGATCTGGAACTTTCATATATTTTCGCCTTATCATCGTTATTGTTTGCAACATTTGCATGAATCGTTGATCGGGAACCTTCATATATTTTCCCCATGTCATCTTTGTGTTTTCTAATTTGTTGGTGTTTGGTAATATACCTTTTTAATACACACTATTTTATTATATAATCTCTTTTATTACGCTATATGGCTTCACATTGCTGATACAACGTAAAATTCACAATCAATCAGTTCGAGATCCGGAATTTTCGATATATATATATATATATATATATATATATATATATATATATATATATATATATCTATATATATATATATATATATATATATATATATATATATATACATATATATATATATATATATATATATATATATATATATACATACATAAATATACATATATATATATATATATATATATATATATATATATATATATATTCATTTTAATAAAATCTTTATCATATTCATATATATATATATATATATATATATATATATATATATATATATATATATATATATATACATATATATATATATATATATATATATATATATATATATATATATATATATATATATATATATATATATATATAGATCAAAGCCCATGATTGCGAAAAGAGTATGCAGTCGTATTATTATGGTCCTGCATTTTCAACTTATTTTAGAATCACTGAGCTTAAAGATCTCTTCCGTAATATTGTTCAGTCTAAAGCATGCTGGCTGTGATTTCGCCCAAATTGAGTCATACAGGAATATTTTAAACTCTTTAAATAACAGAAAATATTAAAAATAAGAAAGTATGGACACATGGACTATACCTTAACCTTTATTTCAAAGCTTATGATTGCTCTGTTACAGTGCTGTAAAATTTTAAATATTCGCGCACCAATTGCATGGAGTTTGACATAAAGGAACCAATGAAATATCGTCTGAAACAAAATATTTCCATTAATTCAGATGAACGTTTATTGGCAAAACTCTGTGTCTCCCAGGGTATTCGTGTAATGTAAGTTTCTCTTGCAGTATATCTGAGAGAAGATAATAGCTTTACATTTTGATAATGTCTTAAACATACCATTCCATCTCTCGTTAAATAATAAGGTTATTAAAATGTTTTAGATTCTACTATAAAGACAAGAAGCTATAAAATAGTTATATAGAACTGCAATTTTATTTCTGTTTCAACAGATCTTCATGGGCATTGAGAATAAGATACAGATATCTTACGTCATCCACATTAACGGGACCCGTATGTAGCTTTGACACGTGGTTGTTCACTTTCCTTATTTTAATCACAATAACACGAGTTAATGTAGCATTTGAAAATTTGTATGTAATATGTATCTAGTAGGAAAATTTACTCTTGTTTTGTCGTAACTAAATTTAAACTTCACTTCTTCACGCCATTTCCAAGATTTTGGGGACGCTAGGAATTTATTATATTCCAATCTGAATCAAACTGTATTATCTCTTGTGAGAAATAGCTAAATAATAACTAAAATAATACAACATCAGCTTTGACGATCATTTATCATTTTTGCATTCATAAGCTATATTACGTCGGCGAAGATTCAGACGCTGATGTTCTTCAAAATCTGAATTTTAATTAAATAACATTGAGTATCATGTCGCATAAAAAATACTCGTCTTAAATATTACATTAATTTAGTTTAATCTAAGACAATTTTCTCTATAAATTTAACTTTTCTACATGCATATTACATCATGCGTAATTGAGAGATAGGTTTATTATATTTTACTTCTAATATGGTTTGTTTTGGCGATAGGAACTTGGTGCTTCAGCTCCTTCGATTTCGGAGGACGGAGAGTCGCCGCCCAAGAAGGAAAGACTGAAGTCATTGGATACTTTTCGAGGGTAGGAAAGATACAGTTAGCGTAACCAGTGGAGCAACGTTACACATTTTATATCGAAAATCTGTCCTTGTTTTCAGATGCTCAAATTATAGAAAATTTTCATTGGTGACCTGTTCCTATGGGTACAACAGTTGTCAGAGTACATTTGACCGATGTCCCGTTTTGATAGGTACATCTGTTTCCAGAGTACGTTAGATAAAATCATTCTCAGAGCAAATAAATAGTTGCTTATAATTACTAATGTTCTTGTCAGTTTTCTATCTGTACATTACTGTCACCATTTCTTAAATTAGATCAATGATAAATAAATTATGAAATCCTTAGTGCAAAATTCATTGGATTATCTTGAATATTGCTACCATTTCGCGATTAATTTACCGCGTGTGCAGACATTAAATAAACAGTACTAAATCAAACATAACTTGATATTGTAAGCATAATGCATACAAAGAGAAAACATAAGTTTTGGCCTTGTTTGGAGTATATTGTT